GGGGGAAGGGCTGTGGGTGGGGCCCGGGCCACAAACCCCCGGCCCCGGGGGAAGGAACCCTTTCCCCCCCCCCCCCCGTGTGCCCATTGCAGGTGGCGCTCCCCTACACCAGCAAGAGCTGCATGCGGGCCGTGCTCGAGTACCTGTACACGGGACAGTTCAGCTCCAGCCCAGACCTCGACGACATGAAGCTCATCATCCTGGCTAACCGGCTGTGTCTGCCGCACCTCGTGGCTCTCACAGGTAATGCGGGGGTGGTGGGGAGGACCGGAGCACAATGCAGCGTTTCCGATTCAGTGGGTCAGGAGACGATGCAGGTCCTATGGCTCTGGTGTTCTCAGTGCTGAAGGACAATAGCCCAGTTACACAACAGCTTTGCAGGCGACAGTCTGGTTTCACTCCCCAAGGCAAGAGCTCCAGGCCCCGCGCAGATTCTTGCACAACAGCGGTGTCGAAGCAGCTGTTTGGATTGAGGCGGTCAGGCTTTGGATTCAGGGCAAATGTACTCACTCCCTGGTCAGACCCCAGCCTCTCTCCCAGCAAAAAGTGTCACCCACCATGACTAGCATCACCCAGGTGTCTTCACAACAGCTGGGCATGAATAAAACCAGCCTATTCCCTACCCCCTGTAGTGGTCAAAGTGGGGCTGGCACCAGGAGTCTCCAGGAATCAGGCCATTGATGCTATTGCCCACATCCTGGAGCAGCGCAAGGGGACACTGTGTAACCCTGCTGTGTTTGTGTGTCACAGAACAGTACACGGTGACGAGCCTGATGGAGGCATCCCAGATGATGGCAGATATCGACGGGGATGTCCTCGTGTTCCTGGAGTTGGCTCAGGTACAAGCTGCTTGTTAAGGAGTGCACAGATGCAATGAGTGAAGGAGGCCCCGAGATTTGCATGGTCTGTGGGCGATGGCTGTTGCTACACTCGCAGCAGGGGGGTTGTTCAAGGGGGGAAAGCGGGAAGATGGAGCAGAGAGCCATCTTCTGGAGGTCCAGTGCTCTGTGTTGAGAGCCCACTGGTCCCCCCTGCTGCGTAGGGACAGGCTGGGGCACTGGGTGGATGCGAGTTTTGCAAGAGATAGAAGTAGTAGTGGGAGGGGGGCACTCTGCCCTCCCCCAGCACCAAATCCCCTGGCTTGGATTATCCCTGCACACAAGGGCAGCTGTGCTGTTACCTCCCCCGTGAGGCAAGAAAGCTGGGTCCTGCCCTCTCGTGGCCACTGAAGGATAGACAGCAAAGCAGCCCGATGCCAATCCCAGTAACGGTGCGCTGCCAGCCTCACACTGCCGATCCACCTCCGTCAGCAGCTGAGAGCAGCTGTCATCCCCCCACGCTGGTGGTGGCTGAACAGCAGCAGTGGGTGGGCTGGTGGCTGTCCCGGACCAGGGGTAACCTGGCTCTTGTCACGGCTCCGTCTCTTGCAGTTCCACTGCGCGTACCAGCTTGCAGACTGGTGCCTCCATCACATCTGCACCAACTACAACAACGTCTGTCGGAAGTTCCCTCGGGATATGAAGGCCATGTCAGCAGGTCAGTGCTGGCTACCACCCTGTGCATCGACCTGCCGCATCCAACTGCTAGAGCAGGCCTGGGGCACCCTGGCCAAGGCAACCAGGAGACCCCAGCAATGGGCAGCAAACTCTGTGGCAGGAAAGGACCACCATGCTGGTATGACAGGGGCCCAGTTGCATGGTTTTGTTGCTAAAGTGCCATCTCTTTCTCTGCAGAGAACCAGGAGTACTTTGAGAAGCACCGCTGGCCTCCAGTGTGGTACCTGAAAGAAGAGGATCACTACCAGCGGGCCAAGAAGGAGCGTGAGAAAGAAGACTACCTCCACCAGAAACGGCAGCCCAAGAGGAGATGGCTCTTCTGGAATGCCTCCTCCTCCCCTTCGGCCTCCCCTTCCTCATCTGCAGCCACAGCCTCCTCCTCGTCTTCCTCCTCGTCCTCCTCCGCTGTAGTTTGAAAGCCCCCTCATCTTGGCTCCAGTGAGGAAGAGGGGGCCGAGTGCCCTGCATCAGTGTCTGGTCCGCCATGCTTGGAGAAGACACCACCAGCTAAGCCCCGTGGCAGAGAAAGAGAGGTCGTAGCAGGGAGGGCGAGTACCATACGGGGGGGCTCAGGATCCAGAGCTCCTGGGCCTGGCTGGGAGCTCTCCGGGACCCTGACCCCTTCTGTAGCTGCTCCGCTGGAGACGTGCAAGGTGGCTGCTGAGCGCTGTGCCCCAAGCAGGCTGCTGACATGCTAGAGACTTGGTGGAGTTTCATCAGCAGGAGAAACTCAGTTTACAGGAGCACGACAGAGGAGGGATTTTTTTTAAACTCTTCAGCAAAAGTGAAATTCTTCCTGAGTCCATGTTATTTTTTTAACCAGGAGTCACAGGCTCATCTGCTTTGCCTGATGGCTTCCGACTCCTTTCCCCCACTTTGCGTATGGTTCAGAGCCCAGCAGATCCCAGTCCTGTCCTGTCCCCTCCCTTGGAGCTAGTCAGGGAGCAGCTCTACCCCTTTGCACTTACCGCCCTGGCTCTGAACTTGCAGACGGTTGCTTGGGCAGGGTGCATCCTAAGCCCACGCAAGTCCAACCTCAGTGAAGACCACAGGAGGGATGCAGACATACGGCAGGTGCAGCGCTGCTCTTCGACTCAGAACTGAGCTCCTTGGTGCAGGTGGGAGTCGAGTCATGGAGCAGCTAACCCCACTGCCCCCATCCCAGGCTTCTGCCCTCCTCCCTGCTTCAAGTATGGGCAGCGGGAGCAGAAGGGAAAGCAGTCAACACCACAAGGGCCTACCCCAGTTCCCAATCGGGTCAGCCTGCAGCGTCTCCCCCTAAGCAAGGAGAGTTAGAGGCAAGGGCATTGCTTTTTTCCTTTCCCAGTTCAGAAGGACACTAGGGGCTGGGCTGCTTCTGCAACCCTGGGGAATCCCATAGTCTGAATCTTTTTTTACACACACGAAATAAGCAAAGAAAGAAAAGACACAAACCCATGAAACCAACCCTACTACCAAAACACCCAGTTGGGATTTTAGCTCAGAAGGCTCTGTTGTAATAAACGGTATTTTAAAAGACCATCTTGGTCTCTGTGTATTTCAAAGGCAGCAGGTGATACTGGAGAAACCAGTGGCAACTCACTGCATCCGTCTCCCAGCCCCTGACAGATGACCTCCCTGCTCTGACCACACACCCAAGCACCCAGCCAAGCTGGCTGCTGGCTCTGGATGTTCCCAAGGAGAAGCAGCAGAGCTCCAGTGCTCACAGCCAATGCAATGTCATGGCCTTAAGTCAGCCTCGCAGAGCAGAAGTCCTGCCCTGGGCACTAGGAGCATGGCAATACTGTACGCCATCCCATCTCCCACGTGCACAAAAGGTAGCATTCTCTTGCATTTACAGATGGGGAAAGTGAGGCACAGGGGGCTAAAAGTTTTCCCCTCCCAGCTCTTTGCCAAGGTCCAGGGACTCTGTGCAGATGCCCCTACCTCTCAACACTGACCCGCACTGCCTCAGGCAACCCAAAATTAATAGCAAAAAGAGAAACTAGTTTCTTTAAAGTGGAAAAAATCCAACCTTCCCCTTTGAAGCAGGCGCATTTAAAAAAAAAAAAATTTTTTTTTTTTTGAGAAGGATCCTTATTTCACATATAGGTGTCTGCAGAGTACTCGTGTCAGAGGGCAGTGTTAGCTAGTAAATACGACAGAGGACCAAGGAGGCCTGGTGTGTGGGGTAAGTAATTTGTCTTCTGTGCCTTAGTTGCCAGATCACGGTTCTGGCTTCCACTCAAGTGCTTCAAGTGGAAGCTTTCTACTTGCTCTCTTTTAAAATTACACTCAGGGCTTCAATTCCCTAGTAGAGGGCAGGGAAAGCAGCAAAGAAATTAGCACAGGTAGACCCACAATAGAGCACAGGGCTGACTGCACCCCTAGGAGCCAACTACACCGATAAGCAGCGGTTCCTTAGCAGCAAGAACCCCCCGAGCACCTGATCAGGTCCTTAGCACGCACAGGGGATATAGCTGGACACACGGGAGTACAACACCAGCAAGGGAGGAACAACACCATTTGCATTGGCAACGGTAATTTCTATGCATAGAAACTGAACCCTGCCTTCCTCTAGCACAGGGGCAGGCAATTATCTTGGGCAGAGGGCTGCTTACTGAGTTTTGGCAAGCCGTCGAGGGCCACATGACAGGCAGCCAGGGACAGATTCATTTTCTAAATTTTTTTAGGGGCCCTGTGGCTAAATCCAGCCCGCGGGCTGCATTTTGCCCACCCCTGCTCTAGCACATGGCTCAAGAGAGCTTTCCCTCAAGTCACCAGACCTGCACTCTTGCTCTCTGCTAAGCCTGCCAATTTGTGGCTCTAACCAGAGCAGCAGTCTGCCTCCCATAGAGGCATTACTCGTGCCCCTTCTTCCCCACCCCAACTCTTCCCTTTCCACTATAAAAGCAGCAACTTGCTGGGAACGGTTGTTTTTTTAAAACCAAAGCCAGTGTCCTGGATCCAAAGGGGATGGGGGGCAAGGTAAAGCTGCTTGAGTTCTCCGCGACCCCCAGTGGGACTACTGATATGTTAGAATATGACTGAAGGCATCTTCCTCAGTAAAGCCAGGCCTTTGCTAACCGAGTCCATGAGAAGAGCTACAGGACGCCAACGGCTGCAAGCCAGAATAGGGTCCAAGTGGTACGTGGACATAGGGGGCTGCGTGAAGACGCTGGCAAACAAATTGAGACACTTGAATTCTACTTGCACACAAAAAGGAAGGGTGGTTGGGGGGGGGTGATCCCCAGGGTACATGCATACACTGGCTTCCTCTTGCCAAGTCTGCCTGAGGGAAAGATAATCTAGCCTGACCGCACAGGAAACCAAGTCTGGGCCTCCAGTGAAGGACAGCATAGCTTCAATGAAGTCAGAGCCATGTAGACTGAGGCCTTGCCCTTGTCCCTAGGATTTAGCCATGGCAGCAGCATTTCAGAACGATGGAGCGAGTAGGGGAGGGAAGGGGGTGCAGGAAGAAGGGGACAGCAAGCAGCAGTACAAATTTTTTTTAAAAAGTTTATTTATAAAGAGATGTACAAAAAAAATACTACTGGCTAGTTCACACTGCTGTACAAAAAAAAAAGGCAAAAAACACGCATAGTAAAAAAAGGAGGAGGAAGAGTTATTTTTATATTTACCTTTTAAAGTTAAATATTCACAGCTACTAATAAATATATAAATACGGAGAATAAGTTCCCCCATTTAAAAACAAAGTAGCAATGACAAAGGGATGGTGGTAGGGTGGAGGGGGAAGGCTGTTCAAGTATGACCATCCTCCGAGAGATGCTGGATGAGAGGAAGCACCCGTTTCTGTATGCTGAGGATAAGGCATCTGTGGCTGCATAGATGATGCTCATATGGCTTTTGGAGGAGGGAAGGTGGGTAGCTGGGTGACCCTGAGGTACAACAGCAAGTCACTTCACAGATACGAAGTCCCTGAACTATGTATTGAGAGAAAACTGATACCTGAAGTTCCTCATTCATCAAGAGGACGGATGGATGACCCATGACCATAGTTCAAGTGCACTTTCTTTTCCCTTCTCTGAGGTAAGGAAGGTTTAGCAGCTCCACCGTGCAGGCACTGAGCAAAGAGGACAGCAGCTTGCTCAAGGTCACTCATGAAGTCTGTGGCCAAGCAAGAACTGAACCCATCTCTCAAGTGCCTTTCTGAGCACCCACCACTGATCATCCTGCACCTCTGTGGGATTTAGCATCCTTCACCAAGGAAGCTAATGCCTGTGGGCCATAGTGTGCGTACCAGTGGGGAAGGTAGTAGTTTTCCCCCCCACAGAACTCCAGTCCAACCCTCACATCCCAGCTCTAGCCCTACAGGAAAGGGAGCTTATCTACAGCTAAAATGTACAGCAGGTGGACCTTTTTCAGATGGCAAGAACCCAGCTAAAGCTTGCCTGCCACAGATTGCTTTAGGCAGTGGCTATGCCCAGCTGGCTGCCATCTGAGACTCCAAGAGCTTGAAGCAATCCCACAGCACTAGGAGAGGGAAAGGATAAGGGCTATAGTCTGGTCCGTCAGAGGGACCCCAGAGAGTCCAGTTGTGGACCTAGCCTTAGCAGCAAGCGAGAACTTCTGCCAAATGTCAACAGCAGTCCATAAGGCTGTGACCATGTGGTACCAGCGCCCGAAGAGGAGATCCCTTGGAACAATCTGTAGTCGTTGCAAGTAGAAATCTCTTCAGAGTATTTCCTGTGCCTCGGCACCTCTGCAGTAGCTTGCAATCTACCACCAGGTGCCTGGCTAACTCCAGCTCCTCTTCCCAGGGCATCTCTGGGCACAAGGAACCCATGGCTTCAGAGGTACTTACGAAGAGACAATCCCATCTGCTTCTGGGCTTGTGTCTTCATACTTGTAGAGACCATCCTGAATAAGTTTGTTGCAAACTGATTGTGCAACGCCCCTGAGATGGATCCTGTCCAGTGTTTCCAGCAATGTGTTCACAGAGGATCCTGTGCCCTCTTTGTTCACCCAGGTGGTTAGTATCTGCACATACTGCTCCAGTGAATCCCCACCAATCTTCTCAGCCATCATAATTTCATTTTCTGAGAGGTGAAGTTTTCTGCCAAATCTTTTCCAGTCTTTGTAGGGCACTTCTTCAGCAAAGATGTCAAAGGACTTGCGCAGAGCTGAGGAAGAGAAACCCGAGCCATAACCATCGTATAAGAACAGAGGCCATGGGGATACTGGAAGAGACCTCCCAGTCATATGCCCTGGTGAGACCGTTCCCAGAGCCCACCATGCCATCAAGAGTAACTCTTATCCCTTCCAGAAAGGTCTGGCTGTGCAGTGCTTGCTGCATGACAAGGCAAGGTGATTTTTTCCCCCTTGATTGCCTGCCAGTAGTCAGATCATAACCCAGAATCACAGAAAATAAGGGTTGGAAGGCACCTCAGTGGGTCATCGAGCCCAATCCTGTGAGCAAAGCACAACCATCCCCAGGTGCATCAGCCCAGCCAAGGCTTTGTTTAGCTAGGTCTTAAAAACCTCCAAGGATGGAGAGTCCACCACCTCCCTGGGTGACCTGTTCCCTCCTCGTGAGAAAGTTCTTCCCAGTATCTAACCTACACTTCCCTTGCTGCAGCTTGAGACCACTGCTCCTTCGTCTGTCATCTGCCACCACCGAGACCAGCCCAGCTCCATCCTCATTGCAACCAGCCTCCAGGGAGCTGAAGGCTGCTATTAAATCCCCTCTCTCTCTTCACCAGACTAAGCCTGGGCATCATCTGCCTTTACCACTGGAAGACCCTGTTAAGGGGTCCAACTGCACCCTCCCTAGATACACCTCTGCCTACAGCCCCATCACCAACACAGATCCAACCCACAGGGATTTGCAGCCCCAGTCTTACCTGTGTCACCCTTTAGACAAGGTAACAAGTGAGCTGGGGTGGTCTCTGCCCCCCACCCCTTTCTAACTGCATCAGGGAAGGTCACCAGGCCATGGCTACTTGGGGTCCCAGAGAGCCATGCCCAAAGTGACCCACATACGGTTCCCCTAGTCTCCCTGGTACTTTGCCTACTAGGCCAAAAACAAAACCACAGCTGGAGGGTCACTCCCCATCCAAAGAAGTGGGAGAAGTGTTAACATGCTGTGAATGTTGGACTAGAAAACAGAACTGTGGACTGCAAAGTTTTCCATAGTCCCTCCCAGTGCCTAGTACAAAGCAGCGGACAAGGCACAAACTTATACTCCACTTACTCTCTATCACGTCATCTCCTTCCACTGGAACCAGTTTCTTCCACCTCTTCACCTCAGGAGCTGCACTGGTCTGTACCACCTAGAAGGATGAAGCCACATACAGTGTTCTGGTCATGACATATGTTGTGCAAGACACTGGCTGCCATTAAGTAACAGAGAAGGGAAACTCCCCCTTCTTTCCCTTGTAATATTGAGACATGAATGAGATTTCTTCTGTATGATTTGCTCCCCCTGCAAGATCCGCACAAGATGGCTGTTCAAAGATCATCCCACTGAACCTGGAGACAGGCCAAGGTCAAAAAAAAAAAAAAAAATAGCAGAGCTGGAAGGAAGGGGTCATCTAGTCCAGCCTCCTGCCGCAAGCAGCATCATCCCTATCCACACCACCGCAAACAAATCCTTGCCTGTCACAGCCACAAGGCACAACACCCCATGCTGTTGCAAGTAAAGCAGGAGGACAGGCATAGGCAATGTTCTGCTGCTGCAAGAGTGGTTAAAAAACCCCTAAACAAACCATGAGTGCGCCAAGGAAGAAAGCCACGCCCCCAGCTACAGAGGAAGGCTCAAAGCCCTAGCAGGCCATACTAAAAGTCAGAGCATGGGGTAAAATCCCTTCCTGATCCCAACTGTAGCACTCAGTCTGACCCTGCGCAGAGGGGCAAAACCCTCTAGATCCCCAACCCTTCTCTCGCATAGATGGAGATGGCAGGTCCCCAACCATTCAGGGGACAGGGAAGCTAACCCACAGACAAGCCCACTGTATCAGGCATTTAAACCATCAGATAGCCTAGGATTACAGCCAGAGGGGCCCATCACAAAATGCTGTCAGCACCAGGCCCTGCACTTAACTCCTTTCCACACATATGGTGAAATACCATGCTGTTTACACTTGATTAAGCCATGGCAGAGATTTCTGCCGTCCTAAAAAGACTTGCCACCTGCACTGGCCCGTTCTGACCAAAAGCAGTAAGTCAGCAGGCATTGTGAGAAGGGGGGGGGGGGGGGGGGGGAAAAAAAA